TTTTTATTTCTCTCCGATATCCGATCCAGTAATTTACGTCAGTATCAGACTGATACCGATACGTAATATCAGATCTGTCCATCTCTACAGTAAACGTTTGTAAACACTCACCTGATTCCTGACGGCATCTTGTGCAGCTGACCATTAACATACAGGTATCTGTTTCTGGAGGCAACGTGGCTGTAGCTGACCGGCAAAATCTCCTCTGCAAGACCCAAATCATCCACCTGCACACACACACACACACACACACAGGTTTCAGTCTGTCAGTCAGCTCTCATCAACAGTTGCTGTGATTTGGTCGTTGCTGTTATGAACTCACCATATTGAGCGTGTTGGATCCCACTGCCCCTGCAGGTCGGATCCCTCTGGGTCCGTGTTCAAACACTGCTCCATCTGATCTGCGAGTGGACCACAGCCAACCTCCAAAACGACTGCTTGCCTCTAGAAGAATGACCTGTTTGGATATTTAGGTTTAAATCGCAGCAATGGCCAACAAATGAAAGACAAATGAAACAGTAGTAACACAACCTTTCATATAAACATCTTAATAACCTTCCTGAATCTTCGTTTGCATATCTCATGTTTCAGATGTTCCTGGAGGACATAAAGCCCTGCACCTGTACAGGAAGTCCTTTAATCACTGTATCCTTTCACATTGGACGCAGCCCTGAAACCCTTTCATGTCTACAGGTTTCGCCGCACATTAAGTTTCCTGCTGCGGCGAGGAAAGAGCATCACAAGCACAAATGTGGAGCGTGATGTACTCGTGCATCGACGAGGTGCGTGCTGATGCACTTTCCCGCGACCAATAGAAGCAAAGCCTGCAGAACAGGAACATGCTGTACACGTCCACGTTTGGTCACCTTTTCCACATACAGGGACCTCCAGAGTCCTTTCCACGGCTCTGTGGACCTCGGGGGGCTATTGTGGGAACGACACACTCTTCACTAGTCGACACAGTTTCAAAGCTTTTGTGCTGATGAATAAGCGATACATGTTTACATGTTTTACTAAACATTTGGATATAAAACGACACAGACTCTCGTAGTGGATACAAGGAGGGATACAATGTTTTGAAATGAAGGAGCATCACGTACACGCAGAGCAGCCGCAGAGCAGCGCAACACAAAGTTGGGTCATTTGCTCTAACTAGCAGCGAGGTCAACGCACTGATGTGAAACAGCCTTTTCATATAAAGTGTCCTGAGATAAGTGTTAAATACAACTGAACAGAACTGAGCACACAGGACTTCCTGCCCGTCTGAGGACATTTACAAATGAAATTCCTAATCAAATCTCGAGGTTTCACTTCCTGTTTGATGAGGGTTTCAAATCCAACTCTGGACTGAACAGGGAGCCAGTAAAAGAAGCTCGTGTGGGGGAAACACACTTACACTGACTCCCTGTCACTCGTGCTTTTCAAACAGCGCGACAATAACGAACTTCAACCAGGAACAAGCAGGTTTCCAGCTCACACTGTCACAGCGTGTTTCTAACAGATGTAATAAGGGTGCTCGAGAAACTTGCTTCATACATGAAGGTTTTTGTTCCTAATCAAACAAAGCATGTGTTACCTTGGTAACCTGGGGGCTCTTGCACAGGTAGTAGGATGCAGCCAAACCCCCGATCCCTCCTCCAAGGACAGCGACTGTTCTCATTGGCCAACTGCAAACACAAGTGAAATCAAGAAGAGTGACTAGAGTGAATGCTCGTGCAGTTTTTGGACACATTTGTTTTGGGTTTTTACGCCACCATGGAGAACGTGAGATGAAGAACCTAACGTAAAGTTTAACATTAACATGACTGGATTAACCATCTCCAGACCTCTTAACTCGTCTCTGTTTCTGAGGGGAAATGAAACACAATCCTATATGTTTAATCCAATATTCAGATTAAAGCTGAACCTCTGCTTCATGGCAAACAGACTGTAGGATAAAGCTGAGAAACATACTGATGGACCTGAGCTGAAATCAGGACCCACTGCTGGCCAAATGGGTCAATTTATGAAGTGGTGTGTAAATTTAAAACAATGCAGAAGCCACCATGTCAGGTTTAAATTAAGTTAAGGTGTTCATACTGTGTTACATCAGTGTGTGCAGGTACACATGTATGATACACTGTAAGAATAAAAGTACTGTACAGAAATGTAACAGAGTTAAGAATAAATGATATAATTCATAAGGTTTGGTTGTTCAGGTCAAATGTTACACAGAAACTAGCAGCTGGTAAAATGTTTGGAAGATTTTTATTTCCAGCCTGACCTGAGTGTAGCTGATAGCCGAGAGCTGGTGAAGATATAGACGACAGTTGGTTTATCAGGCCTCTCACTCTGTCACCCTCCACCCTGTCAGTCTGCCCACCGTCACACAAAGAGCCTGCAGCCTGGCAGGAGCTTTTTGTGTAGTTGATACTTCAAAGAGCAGAAATAAAGGAAAGAATCCAAATTTCTGTTCTTACTGTGTCGCCTTTATCCTCAGTGGATTAGGAAGCACGCGGGTCAGCGAGCTGTCATTTGTGAGATGTGCTGAAGCCAGCTGCCTCTTATCTGCATACATGTGAGCTTTAGGCGCCTCTCCTTCAGTGATGATCACACACGCATGCGCGTGCACACGTTGCACTGGGAGAGTCTGATTGCATCAAATTCATATAAAATCATCCTCAACAGTTGACGTGAAACTTTCATCACTCTACGTCTGTGCCGCGTTTCATCTCAAACTGCTTTAAAAACTGTCAAGAATGTGACGTCATGATGTGACGTCATGTTAACATTTTATTAAAACTCATCTGTGAATTTTTTTAAAATCATGATTCAGCACAGATGTGACATAACTGCAGCTGATAGACATGAAGCCAGATGTTCCTGGAGCAGAGGAACAAAGTTTCACACCAACTGTCACTCAGGCTGTCCGCGTGCACTCTTCTTATCTACACTATGTTGAGCAATCAGAGCGCTTTACGTGACTGGTGCATTCACACCAGCACAGGCTGCTTAGCTGACTAACATCTGGGTGCATCGGAGAGGAACACGGGTCAGTATCCTGCATGCAGACTGGAGCAGACTGGGCTCGAACCAGTTCTGCCACCTGAGCTACAGCCACCCACGCGCAATGTGTACGTGCGCTTTTATGCGTGCGCGAGTCTACAGACGCTGCCGCACAGCCTGGTGTAGACGCGCAAGAAAGTTTATGCGGCGGATAAGAGGCGGCATAAACATGTCAGCAGAAGCGTGGCAGCTGCTGACAAACAACCCGACAACGACAGGTCACCGTGGAAAGTGTGAACGAGCGTCTTTACTTCGGCAGGTGGACGATGCCCAACACCATTCCCGTGAAACAAACACGCGGGCTGTTACAGAGTCTGCGCCAACAGCGGACAGCGCCGCTCCACAGTCCGCGTCCTGCTGCCGAGCTCGGGCTTACCTGTAGACGAGGCACGGCAACGAGTCCGCGCTCCGCAGCGTCCACTCACGACCACAACAACGCTTCCGACTTCTTCTTCTTGATTTTAGATTTTTATTGGCAGCTGGCAAACTGCTGAATGGTGCATTACCGCCACCAACCGGTGTGGAGTGGTAGCGTGTGGTCCGGGACGTCGCGCAAAACAAAAACCAACTCAAATCCAAACAGTTTCTCCTCTTTTCAAAACTGAAATAAGGCCCGATGACCTTTAATCAGAAAGATCCTATTTGATTTTTATGTTTCTGAGCATGTTTCCTCCTCTCCACAGTAGCCACACTCCCCCGTATTATGTTTCCCCATCATGAGTAGTGTAGTGGTCAAACCAGTATGTCTTGATATGACCACCTCCTCTCTCCGACTCCGTCCTGTGGGTCTCATATCCTCCTTTGAATTCTTACAGCCATCGTCTCTTCCTTTCTTCCTCCCACTGTCTTTATCATCTTTTCTTTCTTGCCTGACTCTTTGTCTCTGCCTGGCCAAAGCTCACAGCCATGTCAACCCCATGTTTTGTGCCCTTACTTATTTCCTGAGTCCACAGTGCGCCTGAATCCATAAAACACACCTGTAAGTCCCATCATGTGTGTTCTGATGTGTTTGCTGAATCTCTGCTCTAGGACCACAACTACCACACCAGTTTGACCAGCTGTGTTTGTATATATTTGAACACAATTATAATACTGGTCAATGTAAGCCTGAACTGTATGAGTTTAAAATAAATGCCTCATCCTTCTTCTTCTTTTCCAATAATGTGAGATCTGCTGTGGCATCAGGAAGTATCCACAGAGGAGCTGGTAACGGCGCTCTTTGACTGATGTCTGATCCAGTTTAAATTCTGTTGCTCACCGTCCCACAATCCACCCAAAGCTCTTTGTTTCCCGCCTTTCTTTCTCCCAGCGAGCTTTGATTACTCTTCCAACTTTCAGACTCCTTCAGAATAAAAGTACATCCTGACAGGAAAGAGTTTCCCGTTGTTGACTTTACTGCTGCCAACTGGTTCAGGTGTGACTCAAACAACAGCAGCACAGTTTAACAGTGCAGGTGAAAAGGTCAGTATTTAATGACAGCAGCATGAAGCTGTTTGTTCAAAGCTGATCACTCCTGTCATGCTGGGTTTCAGCTTTCATCAGAAATGCTCAGCGGGCACGAGGTGAAGTACTGACAGTAGGACTCCTCGGTCTTTAAGGCTTTGAGTTTTAGAGCACAGTCAGTGTGCCTGCTTCAGCTTTTAGTGAGGTAGAACCCCCCCAACATGCCCCTACAGGACCACTAACGTTTAAAAAACAAAACAACAACAATCGGACAGTCTGCGCAGTTTAGTTCTTACAGTTTAAATCCTCACAGATTTGTTTCTTTTTCATTATCATGTAGAAAAACAGTCATTCTCCTTTTGCTTGTTTTCTTTTTCCCAGCAGCTGATCCTGCAAATCATTGCTGTCTTTTCTCACTTCCTCTGTTTTTCTTTCCCTCTCCTTAGTCAAACTTCTCTTGTCCACGTCTTTCCCTTTCCTACCCCAGTCATGTCTGTTCTGATTGTAATAACTTAAAAGTTAAAAATAAATAAATTATAAAGATCAATCGAGTGGACCAGTGTAGCAAAGCTGTAATGATATTTTTCTTGGCCTTCAGTCAATAATTCTGATGCTACAGAGCTGAACAGGACGGCAACAAAAAACAAAAACAACAAAATCAGAAGTTTACTTTTCAAAAACTACTCGACATCTGAAGGATCCTAAAAATGGAAAATAATAAAATCTTCCTATGGGGACATAATGACTTTGAAAAATGAAAACTGTGACATATTGAACAGCTGAATCAACAGGCTGTCGTGCAACCAACCAGACTGTCTGTGGTCCAAACCTCGACAGGGCTTTAAA